ACAATGATTGATATAAATCAAATCTTGTTCTATATCTTCCTTATATATTTAATATTGAAACATTACAATTCATAAGTATAATTGTCGGAATTAAGGTTGATAATATTGCTATGTATACGTGTTTTTTATTATTTAATTAATTATTGATCAATAATAAATGTGACGCAAAAATATACTCGTTCTATTGTTCCAACGCTTCTTATTGCTATTGAAAATTCTATTATTGTTACATCGAATTGTTTTTCAAAGTTAATACAAACAATTAAAACAAACAAATTTTTAAATGATTAAAGATACTTTATTTTTTAATTTTATTATTCGAACAATCTACGACATTGTAGAAAATCATCTTCCTACAAATAAGAGGATGATGAAACAAAAAATCTTTAGATCGAAAGGATATCATATTTATCATTTAGAAATAACTGTATGTCAAGTAGAGTCAGAAAAAACAAAATCAATTTATTAAAAAAAATGTCATCATTCTTAAATAATAATAAAAATTTTTTGTAATATATAGTATGCTAACGAAAAGAATAAATCGAAAGTAAGATGATTATAGGTATTATTCCTGTTGAATGTCGATATTATGGTAGCAACAAAATAAACACAACTCCTTTTAAAATTATTACTTGAAATGTAATAGTTCATATAGTCGTTTGTGTTTGACACTTGATTTAGTGTATTGCCATTCATTTCAGATTCGATTCTTGTTAGACAAATCATTTCAAATGTCTATTGATCATCAGATTACTATCAATAACATCAAACAAGTTCTAACATAAACAAATATAGCAATACCAACTCATGTTCGATGGATGTATCTGATCAGTGTAGTCCATGTTCAAATCAAGGTTTTTCATTGTTTTCTTTTTTTGATTGTATTCGAGAAATCGATAAAATAATTTCATTATCAAACAGTCACAAAACAGAATAAAATATGTGTATTGTAAGAAAGTTCATAAATTGACATCTACCAAAAGAAAGCACATTCGTTTTAAAATATAAATATTTTTATTCTTTAAGTAAGAAAAAGATGTCTGCAATCAATATTTGTACAGTATGAGAGAAGTGTATATATTTTTTAATAAAATGTAGTTCTTTTTTTCACTTTGATTTTCAATATAGAATTCTGACGAATTTTGTAGAATGAATCTTATTCTCTTTTCCTATACGATGCGTGTTTTATTAACTATTATTGAGTCTATGTCACACAAAATAAACTAAATCAATTGCAAAAAGAAAACAAAAAAAAATATTGATGAATAGGTGAATCTTTATTCGAATATGTCACAAAAATATTCTCTCTTTCTTTCAAATAGCATATTAAAAATATTGGCAATAAAATCTTCTCATTTTTCATGATATTAGAGCGGCACAAGGTAAAATGTTTTCATAATCTTTTACATAAATAATCCAATATCAAATATATCAATATTGATAGAAAATTCAAAACACAAATTTGTTTAAGCTGACTTTTCTGTTCTATCAAATTGCAATATCATTAGGAATGTATAAAGTTCAAGTTCAAGTAAACAGAAATCGTTATGATCATTGAAATTTGACGTTTAGAGAAATTACATTAGCATAAAATGAACTAAAATTAAACAATATGTTGCTAAGATAGAGACAAATGCTATATATTCTAAAAGAGTATGCTTCAAAATGAAGTTTTATTTTTTTTTAAATTAAACTAATAATATCTCTCAATTCAATCTGTTTTATATTAATTGAATGAATATTCTTACAATAGGAAAAATATTAAGAAACTATTTTTGATATAAGTAAAATTAAGCAGCAATTTGAGGAATTCCAATAACATTTAATGGTAAAACATCAGTAGCACTTCCAAAGTACCAAGGAAGATAAATCATTTGATTTTCTACAAGCATTAGACATTGAATAAAAATAGTTGATTTAGAATGAACTTCAATGTTTATTCTAGATAAAACATCACCCATTGTTATTCGTACTTGTATATAACAAAAAGAATGGTCGGTACACGTTCATTATATTGACGAAATGTTGAAATAAGTACATAAACAATACTTGTTTCACTATTCAACGAAACACAAGATGTAACAAGATCATATTTATTTATTTCATCTTGAGATGTTATTTGAGCTTTCCCTAGAGTATTTCCATGAGAATTAATTGCATAAATATATGGAAGAATACTAATATAGATAATACCTGTTTTATCATCAATAACTGGATGAGTAGATGATGTTTGACTTTCATATGGTTCATTCCATTGCCAAACTAAATGAAAATCAATTTTTGAATCAACACTCCATTGTGAAAGAATATAAGGAGCAGAAGATAATAAATAATTTTTGCCATACTCTTACAATAGTATTTTGTTTTCTATGAAAAGCATAATATTGATTTGCACCACTATTAATATCAACATCTAATAAATTGACACCATTAAAATTTACTTTTCGTAAATGATCATCATTTCCAAACCAATAAATTCCTGTCTCATCACTATTATAATGAGAATTAACTATAGCTGCAAGATTGAATGGACCATTGAATTCAATTTGTAAACTAGTTCTATTAATAATAGCTAATGCTTCTCCATAAAGTGTACTTATTAAATAAGTAGATGAATATTCGATTGATAAAGAACCTTGAAATGTTTGAAAAAAAAATATGTGTTGGAAACACATTCTTCAATTGGATTATTTGTTTCAAGATTCGATATATGACATATTTTATTTAAATAGTTTTCATCTTTAAACCATGATATGCCATAGAATAATGTTCGTTCAATATTCGAAACAATATTTGTAATACCAACATGATCCATTTCTTTATCTCGTTTAAGATATAATTTCCAACGAATGAATCCATTCGTCGTTACCACATACGAGATATTCAGCTGGACAAAAAAATAAAAAATATTCAATTTCACTATTGTCATCAATGAACGTTTTTTGTTTAATAGATTTTAGAAACGTTTCTAGAAATCTATGAATAACAAGATTCAATCTCAAGAATAATATCTAATTAAAAAGAAACGAATCATACTAACGTGAATTGATTGGATCATCACTAGTAAATAAATAAATATCACCGTTAATACCAATTGCCATTGCCGGAATAGACATTAATGATTTTGAAGTATTAAACACAAGTTTTCATGATTTTCCAGTATAATTTGTTGGTCTGGATAGTATTCTTCGATGAGTATTACATGCATTACCTATTTCATAAAACCAAATTTTCGCATCGACGTTTTCATATCCACGAGTCAAATCAATAAAAGCTATGAATGTTGTAACAACAATAATAAAATATATATTCCAACAATCCATTGTTTCTTTTGTTTGTCTCATTCAATCGAGTCTTTATGATAAATATATAAAGGGTGAAATGTACTAACAGATTTTAATATTCTCATATTTAAATGACAATGCTAGTCTAAGAATGATGTTGCATACATTACCATCAATGACAAGCAAAAACCTCTTATTTTCATTTGTTATTTTTTATTGATAAACTTTCTAAATATTTGACCTTTTTTCTTGAAATCTTTTCTCTGTGTATTTGTCATTTTGGTACATGCTATGAAACTTTGTTTGTTAAATAACGTTTAGCAATCAAATATAATCATAACCGCTTTCTAATAAGTAACATTTTTCGAGATAGCATCATTTTTTTTTTAATTAAATATTCAATTTTTGAAGAAAATAATAGAGAATGAAAACTTAAATTCAGTTTTTTTGCGATTCTTCGCCTTGCCTCAGATCCCAGAAACTGGTGGAGAGTAAGCGAAAGATTACTATATATGTATCTCGAGCAACAGAAAATGCTGCGTAAGTAACATCAGTGCTTATGTGATTCTGTAAGTCTGCAGATGCTAAATATTTAGTCTACATATTGCAGATTTTGGGTTCTCATTCAACAAAAGGATTTATTGTAGGTGGCAATCAATAGGGCGATCGTATTTTTGATGTAGAAGAGTCAGAATAGGATGAAAATAGAAAAATAAGGACTAATTCAATTCGAATTTTAGACAAAACTTAGCAATCATGTCAAAATTCATCGAAAGAAATATGTATGAATTTAATACACATCTTAGTAGTAAAAAATTGTCTGACTTGAATTGTAATTTTGTCGAGTCAAAATAAATCAAAAATGACTTGACTTGTCCATTGTTATTTTAAACACAAATATTGTATAAAATAGACGGTACTACTTCGATAAACAAATGTTGCTAATCGAACATCAATTGTGTGCTAATGAGTCCATAGACATTGGTCTTGCCAGTGAGTCTATTCATTGACTGTTGTATCGAAAACTTTCCTTTGGTCTTGCTTCGAGTATTGATGATCTTTTCTTACATCCCTGTTTTTTTCCTTCAGCTTCGCATCAGCTTATCGTCGATGGACAGTAATGATAAGTTAGTTAAATTTGTCTCATTTTCCTCTGTATGCTTAGCAAATAAAACACTTCATGTAGAAATAACAACCAATCCTATACAGTTATAAAAAGATTTCCACGTGTTAATAAGAAAATAAAAAAATACAATCATACATCGAATCGGTAAAAACAGTTGCACTGAAAATTAAACATATTTGAAGAGTAGTTCAAAGGCTGGCAGTAGAAAGTATTTCAAGTATTGAGGAAGTATCAGCACAGTCATCAAATTTAACCGAGGAACGATAGAATTTATAGTCAGTGCAAGCATTATTTCTGAAGTAAAACTGTTGCATTCTCTTTAACATAAATCTCAAGTGCACTCAAGCTTCATAGACATGAGAAGAATTTGTATGAAAGTATTTATACCCCATAATTTGAACACTTTTGGCTTTCAGAGTACAACTGAACAGATATCTGTGTCTTATTAACACAATTTTCAAGAATAGTGACATGTTTTTTTTTATTAGTTAGATTCCAAGACTCTAAATAGCTTTATTAATGAAGAAACTGCAATTTGTTTAACTATAAAAGACATATGTCTAAGCAAGAAATAATAAAAGGTGCAATTTCTATTCGATAACAATTGGCAGATCCAGTTTGATGATGCCTTTAATATCTCGTCGCACTTGCACATACGTGCCTTCATCTGCTGCTTTGTCCATAATAGGATGTTTCTGCATTTGACGACCATAGATGGCAAAGAAACATATAGATATAATCATACGTAATCGACCATTTTCATATGCACTGATATGAACACCTTCGTCAAAAGATGATACGGGTGTTTGTGGATAAACTTCCCAGTTTGATGGAATATCTAAACCGAATAATGAAAGCTTATCGAGTGCAACGTAGTTGAAATTTCGTTGTAATTCTTCAAGGTTAACCGTGTCTTGCTGAAGTGGGTTTTTGAAGCCAATACTTATAGATGTTCCAGGACTTGAATACGTGTAAATCGTTGGTGTAAGTTGATGAAGTGAACCTTCAGAAATTTCAAGCTCAATTTTGTTTTCATGCTCATTAAGCCAGTCGACAATCTTGTTCTCTAAATCGTGTGCTACAGTTGATGACATACTTTGTCGTTTTGAAAAATGGATGAATGAATGAGAGCAATAGCGAGAATAATAGAGAAAACCATTATTCACCTCACAAACACGTGTATAGTCGATAAAAGAAAGAATAATACATGGTGTGTATTCGCATGAAAAAATATACATCGGTAAAGTTAATAGTTGATTTGAGTTATATCGTTGGTGATTCATCCAGGAATATATTCTTAAATTTCTATTCTAGTTTCAAGTTTAACTCATTGAGCTCTATGCAGTGGATATAATCATATTTTTAATAGTCGAAACGATATCGTCAAAAGTTTTCAAATAGTAATATGTATATATATATTTAGATTTGATTTAACTCATCATCAAATTTCATATATCTCAGATGATACAGCTATAACTTGCATGCTAGCTGAGACAATAGATGTGTTATTGAAACTGTAATATAACACTACGATATACACAATGTTCTAATGCATTCTATGACAAAAGAATAGATTATTTGAGAGTTTTAAAAAATTTCATTTGTTTTTAAGAGTAATCTCGTTCTCAGAAAGTGTAAATTGTATTCGAAAACGATTATATAGCAGATATTTTTTTTATATATCAAATGAGAACAAATTATTTTTTAATATATTCATGTTTGAAGTACAATCTTTTCATAATAACAACTACAAAATTATATTTAAAGATGAAATCTTGATCTTTCAAAAGAAAAACTACTACTGAAAAAATTTCAATTGTTCGATTAATTGACAAAGATCTCGTTCAACAACAGTTGACCACATTGCTGAAATATATTCATCAGAAAAATTTTAGCTTATTGTATGTTTTCGTTTGTTTTATGATACAATGATACATGGTCAAAATCACTGTATTATCCAGGAACTTGAAAATTCAATATCTCAAGACAGGAAGGCCATGGATCCCAATCCTTTTAGAGTTATTATAGTCGAGCTATTCCCTCTATATGCCCAAAATATCAACTCAAAAGTGGTGAATTACTTCGAAAGGTTCCCTTGTGAGATTTAATTCAAACTGAATTAAAAAAATCCATCGGAAAC